CGTATATATCTTGAGGTGTTTTTTGAAAAATCAGGCCACATGCCCCTTCTCTCTGGCCCAGTGCGAGCCCCACACGTCTAGTCAGCACTGACTTCGTACATATCTGGAGGTGTTTTTAAAAAAATCAGGCCACATGCCCCTTCTCTCTGGCCCAGTGGCTGACAACAGGCCCCACGCGTCTAGTCAGCACCGACTTCGTATATAAACGAGATAAACACTGTATTTGCATGTCAATGCTAAGTTTTTGCGCCACTTCGATGTACACCACAATTTCTAGTACCAAAATGACCGTTTACGCCAAGTTGTAGCACCACCAGTGTAATTGACTTTTTTTTTCTTTAGTTACCAAGCACGGGCATGTTTGCTAGTGAAAATATAATAGATCGTTGGGCACTTCGGTTAGCTAGCGAGTTGTTCCCATGATTTAATCGATGATATTGCGCTAGCGTACGTAGCAGCAAATTACAGAACGTATCCCCTCCTGTTACGGATTCAGCGGCGAACACGTACGATTACGATACGTAACGGGCGCGGCCAGCGTGTAATGCAGATCCATCCGTGAAGTTTGAACCCCTTTCTTCCTTTTCTTTTCTTTTCGTCTTGAGAAGGTGAAATCTGAAACCCCAGCCGTACGTCCGCACTAGAAACTAGACAACCAGCGCCGCCGGCCGGCCGACACGATGCCCAGGGAGCCACCGCCATGCCGCAACTGGCAGGCAGTTTTCCGAGGCCCGAGGTGAACGACGCCCTGCACCTCGTGGGGCAGGTCAAAGAAAGCTTGGCGTCCGATCTGGCCGTCTACGACGAGTTCCGCGACCTCCTCGGCAGCTTCTACCGGGGCGAGGTCGCCGACTCCCGGGCCGTCGTCCTGGCCAGGCTGTTCGCGTTCCTCGACGACCATCCCGACCTTGCTCAAACTCTCCGCGCTTCTTGCGCCGCCCCTTCCAGCACCAAGCCGACGAGCCCGTCCTCCGCGAGGAGGATCCGCCGAAGCGGCCTAATAGGGAGCGCCGGCGCGTACACCCGGCCGCCGCCTCCGTCGACGCGGAGTGTGCCGAGGCCATGCGGTTCCTCGAGCGGGTGAAGCTGGCGGACGCCAGGCTCTACGACAGGGTCCTCGCGCTGCTCTTCCACGTCGGGGCGGAGGTCAAGCTCGACGCCAATCAAATCTACGACCAGCACTACCAGAATTTGATACGTTGCCGACGGCCCATCACCGTCGGCATAGGGCCAAAAGCCGTCGGCAAAGGGTTACACCGACGGCCCCAGTCGGCATATCCCCGTCGGCAACTCGTACGTCGGCGTACCTCAGGTCGGCCGTCGGCATACAAAAACCGTCGGCATAGTGAGCTAAGCCGACGGGGGCCGTACCACCGTCGGTGACATTTTCCACCCGACGGACGTTGACGGCGCCACCTGACACGTGGGGGTTTTCGGGCCGGCGCACGACCATCTCCTCCGCGGTTTCATGGAGTACCTTCCCACGGGACGTGACTTTCTGAGGCGGCGGCTCCCCAAGAAGGAGCCGCCAGAAGAGCACAGTGCTCCCGCTCCGCCACGAAAGCGCAAGGCCCCCGCCGCCGCAGCGGCCACGATCCCTGCAGACGCGGTCGGCAAGAAGAAACCCCGCGTCGACGAACGGAGGACGACCAACCAACGCGCCTCCCCCGCCATCGCCGTCGATGCCCCCAAGAGCGGCGAGAAGTTCTCCAAGTTTCGGGAGGCGTGGGAGTTCGAGACCGCGTACACCGAGCTCGTGGTCACCCTAAGACGCACCAAGAAAGCACTCGAAGAACTCAAGCCAAAGCCAAATAAGAAATCACGGGAAGAAGAAGCCGGGCCGGGGAAGGAATCGCCGGAAGAAGTAGTCACACGGTCGCCATGCCACCGCATGCGGCCGCGCACGTTCGAGGAACTACCCTGGCCGCGAGTGCCGGGAGATTCTCCAGGAGATGTACGGCGACATGTTGGGATCGATGCGGGAGGCGCTCGAGGACGGCGCGCGCACCGAGCTGGCTTTGAAGAGAATCAAGCGCAGGCTGAAGAAGTTGGAACAGGTGGCTGTGGAGATGACGAGGGAGCGGCGGGATCCTGCTCGAGAGCCCGGCCGGTATGCCCGAGACCAAGATTGTAGTGGACCAAGATTGCCGGTGAGTAGTGTGGCATGATTTAGCTTCGGGAAACCGATGCTCTTGTGTGTTGAAGAGGTTCATTGAAGTTTGTGCCAAAAAACTACTGCCTCTGTCTCAATATATAAGATCATTTACAAGCTATTGTGGGTGGAGGGAGTAAAAACAAGTGCTCCAAAATGGATCTTTTTTTAGTCCTGAATGTTGTATTTGTGTACATGTGTATAGAAAAAATGTTGATCATGTATTAGAAAAATGATGAAACAAATTTGATCATGTATATTAAAATGGTAATTGAGCATTTAAAAAACATTGAACAAGTATTAAAAAATATTACATTTGTACAGACAAAATGTTGACCATGTATTAAAAATAATGAATTTTTTATCATGCATATAAAAATGTTACTCAATCATTTGAAAGAATTTGAATGAGAATTTGAAAAATGTTAATAACGCAATTGAAAAATGATAAATGTGTTTATAAAAACTGTTGATCATGTCTTAATTGTTTTTTAATATTGCATTTAGAAAATGTTAATCAAGCATTTGAAAAATGTAAAAATGTGTTTAGAAAAAATGTTACCATATACAGAAAATGTTAATATTGTATTTAAGAAATGTTAATCAAGCATTTGAACAAAGTTTTAAAGTATTTATAGAAAAATGTTGAACATATTTTCAACAAATGTTAATATTGTATTTGAAAAATATTAATCAAGCATTTGAAAAATGTTAACTATGTGTATAATTTTTTTTGACTATGTATTACTTAAATATTAATTTTTTATTGAAAAATGTTCAACATGTATTAAGAAAATGTTGTTTTTTGCGAGAATTAGGAAAATGTTGTTGACATATACGAAAAATTTAGAATGAAAACCGAAAAAGAAACAAAATAAACTAAAGAAATAATAAAATGAAAAATAAAACTGAAGAAACAATTCAAAAAGAATGAAAAATAAGAATACCGGAGAAGAAAAAAGAAAAGAACAACAGAAAACAAGAAAAAGCATTGAAAACTAAAAAAATTAAAATCATATTTAGAAAATCTTAAACATGTATTAGAAAAATGTAGAATGAAAACAAAAATAAATAAGTAAAAACTGGAACAAAACCAAAAAAGAAAGAAGGAAGACAAAAAATAAAACTGAAGAAAAAATGCAAATAATTGGGAAAACAATGAAAACCGATAAAGAGAAAAGGAAAAAAAACTATAGAAACATTGAACCAAGAAGAAAAAAAAGCTGAAGAAAAAACCAATAAAAATCGAGAAAGAAAGAAAATAAGGCCGAAGAAAAAGAAATAAAAGAGAAAACTATAGAAACGGAGAAAAGAAACAAATAACTTCTGATGAAAATATAAAGAAAGAAAAACCCCTGAGAAAAACAATGAAAACCCGGTTATTTTAGCATCAACTATGTCACGCCCTAGTTTGTACCACGAAATGGGCGCTGGCTCAGATCGGTGTTGATACTCATCCATTAGACCCGGGTTTGAATCTTGGGATCCCCATATTTCCAGCCTAGCTACTTGGCCTGGAGCTATTCTCTTCAGGGAGAGCAGATACAGCTTCCGGGGGTCTGGGCATATAACCCGAAAACCGATGTACCGAACCTAAATAATCGACACCGAAATCGAAAACTTCGGTGCTATAATCGGTTTGCATCTTCAGATAACTGAAACTAGTCCAGTGAATTCGGGTTTATCCCTCAGGAAACCGAATTGACCGAACACCGAGTAAAACAAAGGCCCCGGCCACATGCCTGCGCTCGATTTCCTCAGCCCCATCCTTAATGGGCGCCAGTCCCGCACAGCTGCAGCCGCATTCCGCATCCCGCGCATGCACATTGGAATAAAGTAGTGCTTCATCTTGTTTACCTCGTGAAGAGGGTCAATCAAGTAGTACTCCCTAGGCTTGTCATAGTGGGGAGTAACTTAGATTAGTGTCATATGCATGACACTAGTCTAAATTATTACCCTCATAGTGCAAAGTATCTTAGTAGTAGTATCATAGTTTGTTTTATTTATTGTCTTATAGACTCATTTTACCTCGGGAAGCGATATGTAACAGTAACATATTATGTTACTCCAAGCACCTCTCTCCTCATTAAATACTTGGCATATAAGCAAAATTATCTTAAGATGTGTTAAGTTACTACTTAAGTTACCCCCACTATAGCTAGCCTTAGACACTGTCCCTTTTTTAGAATAAAGTATTAAATATACGTCGGTACTATTTGATCAGAACCGATGACCAAACCGAAATCTCGGCGTAGAATCCTCGGTTAGCTAGCTTTCCATTGACCGATCAGTCCGTATTTTCATAAAACCGAAATTTTAATTAGACCGAAGCACGGACCCGATCGGTTCGGGGGAACCGAATGCCAGGCGGGTAGGGGTAGCACATTGTAAATAACTTATTTTTTCTTGGTAGAGCACATTGTAAATAAATAAATTATTTGAAACTTTTAAATAACATTAGCTATTTTGAAAAGAAAAAAACTGGTGCCAAAACGCTGCACTCATCCTTTTTTTCAATAAGAATCTGCACTTCCCTCAAAAAAAAAAGAATCTGCACTCATCCTAATTGTTTTTTTGAGGGAGCACTCATCCTAAATTGCACATTGCAAAATGCAAATAATCAGCCGAAGAAGAGAGGTGATCTTTACGGCCTGGCCCATCCGGCCCGTCACTCGCTCCGGCTAAGCTTTGCTTTTGTGTGGGAGAGAGCGAGGCAACCACCAGCGCCACGAAAACGAGCGGACGCCGGAGAAGGGGAGGGGAGAGGAGGATGGCAGCGGCCGCGGCGGAGGGCGCGGCGGCACCGGTGGCGGCGGCTATGCGGGCGGTGCTGGCGCGGGCGGGGCGCGCGGCGGAGCGGTCCGGGCGGGCGGCGGAGGCGGTGCGGGTGGTGGCGATCGGGAAGACCAAGCCGGTGTCGCTGCTGCGGCAGCTCTACGACGCCGGCCACCGCTGCTTCGGCGAGAACTACGTCCAGGAGTTCGTCACCAAGGCGCCGCAGGTGAGGCCACCTCCTCCGGACTGGATTCGACTGGATCCCCATCTGTTTGCTGGCTGATTGATTCAGTTCTGTTCTGCCGTCTTCTGCGTGCAGCTTCCGGAAGACATCCGGTGGCATTTCGTCGGGCACTTGCAGAGCAACAAGGTGAAATCGCTAGTAGGTATGGTTAAGCTTTGCCTTGGCGTGCCGCGTCTGTTTTCATGGAAGATTTGACAAATGGTTGTGACCACATCTCACATAGACAATTTGGTGTTTTTATATGCTATCAAAGTAGGGGAACGGCAGGGTTAGCTAATTAGTTAGTGATACTAGTAGGTGGTCTACGGATCTGGATGCAATTTTATTATTTCTAGTGTAGGTTATCATACGCCGGCATGGATCTGGCCCTCCGACCTCTTCTATGGCGCGGTGGTCCGGGATGCTGGGGCGGCGGCCCCAGGGAGCGGCGGTCCCCTCCTCTCCTCGCGGTGGAGGAGCGGCGGCTGACCGTTTTGGCGGCGGATCAGGGCGTTCTGCTCGGATCTGGTGGGCGCGCGCCGTCGACGGGATGTGGCGGTGCTGGCCGTCCTGGGCCGCGTGGGTGGCAGGGCGGCTGCGCGTGGTGGAGGCCCTGACGCCTCTGGCCCTTGGCGGCATGGAGGGCCTGGGTTGGGTCGGCGCCATGTGTGGTTTGCCCTCCGGACAGATCTGATCTGGCCGGTGCGACCTCAATGTGCGGCGGCTCAGATCGGCGGCGACCCGTGCACACGATGCTTGATGGAGGTTCCTTGAGCGGATCCGGGTGAAAACCTAGTTCTCGGCTTGATGCCAAGACCGGCGTTGGCGGCACCTTTGTGTCATTACCTTCTTGAAGGCCTCGCCGTGGAGAAGCTTCAGACCTCTATCCACTACCTCCGGGGGAAACCCTAAATCAGTAGATCAGATGACGGCGGCGTGTTGGTGTCGTTTCCTCCTTGGGGGCGTCATTCTTGGAGGCGTACATGGGTTCGAGGGACCAGTGGGCGGCTTTTTTGGTGGAGCGGTGCTTCATCCTGCACATTGATGACGGCGGATCTCGGCGGCATGGTGCAGTGGAGACTCGGCGCCCGATGCGCGGTGCTGGACTCGCGCAGGAGGGGGTTGTTGTCTGGCGTCATGGTGGCGTCGATGGCAGAGTGGCCTGACAAGGTAGAAGCAATATCTGCTTTGAAGACGGACCAGTGGAAGATGGCGGCGACGACACATGTGAGTGCATCAGACCAGTTCATGCCCCAGACCCGGTATGTGGCTCGGCTGGGGCTTCTGGCTTTTGATGATAGTCTTAGGTGAGTGGACTGGGTATTTGGCCCAGCTAGCGCCCCTTCATCATATGGATAGGAGTAGTGGCATATGATGCCAAGATGGCGGATTCAGGCCTATTATTGTAATACTTTGTAAGGTCCTCGAGAATAATCAATAAAGTGGCCGCATGCATCTCCCAGATGCAGAGGCCGGGGGTCATCCTCCTTTTCTAAAAAAAACTGTGGAACCACCACCGACCGAGGCCCCACAACCAAACCAGTCTCTCTGTACATAACGCAAGGAGAATCCTTTAAGCAGATTACTTATCAAGTTCTTTTTTCTTCTCTGTCTTCCTTGAGACCTCAGTGCTCAGTGGCAAATCAAATCCCCCGAATTAATTCCGTGGAAATTAACTTCTCGTCGTTCTTTCTTGAGTATCCTAATAGCTCAAAGATTTTTCTTTTGGTGTGATGTAATCCTTTGAAATATCTATACTACTACTACCACATTGCTAAAAAAAATCTATACTACTACCACAAATACGCAGTGATTCTTTCGCAAAAAAAAATACACAGTGATTAATAAAAATATTTTATTGGCTTTATTATACATGGGGCCTAAATTGTGACTTTGCTCCGGGGCCTAGATTTCCTGGGTACGGCCCTGAAATCACATGACGTCTCTACTGCAACCATTCACATGACAGTCCAGTCTCCAGTCAATTGGATTGTGGGCTCTCTAGTCTTCACTCTTGGGGGTTCAAGCACATAGATTGTCATACTTATTAGGCTATAACACAACTATAAATAACATATATTTTGAAACTCAACCCCCGAACGCCACTGTAAGTGCACATGTGTCCTTTGATTTTATGGTTCTAATTTTCTAAACAATTAACCATCGTAGGCACTATACTGCTTGGGCTCAGTTACCTATTTCTACCGTTTTGCAGCTGCTGTTCCAAATCTTGACATGGTTGAGGGTGTAGGTAATGAAAAGGTAAGCAAGCAGCAACAAACACACGTTATGTTTAAAAGTTAAATGCATCTAAACCAATATGGTGTTTGTATATCTACAGAAAAGGATGATAATACTGATTACAACATGTTTGTTATATATGAGCTCATCCTTATCTTCTCCGTCTGAGTATTACATAATGTTGGCATTCTTTCAGATTGCTAATCATCTGGATCGTGCTGTTGTTAGCTTGGGGAGGGAGCCTTTGAAAGTTATGGTGCAAGTAAACACCAGTGGAGAAGAATGTGAGTTCAGAAAAGATATTCAATTGACCCAGTCACCTAATTTTTGTTCAAGGACATATCTTTAAACTGCCATAATTTGTGAAACATTAGTTAACTGCATTTATGGTACAATCTTTAAACTGCCGTAATATTTCTAGACTTGTTTTATTACTTCAGAAGCCATGTTATAAAATAGCTAGATTTGTTTCATTACTTCAGAAGCCATGCCTTAAAATATATTCAAACTTTTCTCCTGATTCAAGTCGCTGCCATGCTGCTATATATTGCTTTTCTTTATGATTATATTATAGATGGCTTTCTTCGCGATGATGAATCCACTGATGTTACACTTCTGTTTTCATTCAGCAAAATCTGGTATCGATCCTTCTAAATGTGTGGAGCTTGCTAAGCATGTGAAACTAGCTTGCCCAAACTTAATACTGTCAGGACTCATGACAATAGGGATGAAAGATTACTCCTCAACACCGGAAAATTTTAAGGTGGCTTTCTATTATGATGTCATCACGAATGCTCCTTCTGTGTTGGGTTGACTTTTACAAGATGTTTTGTGTGATCTGAATACAGGCATTGGCAAATTGTAAGCTTGAAGTTTGCAAGGCCCTTGGGATACCGACAGAACGGTTTGAACTCTCCATGGGAATGTCCGGTGACTTTGAGCAAGCGGTAAGAAAACATTAATCTCTCATGTTTATGTGGGGTTTTCGAACATCCCATCCCATTAAAACCAGAGTTTTGGTGTGAACATAGTACGATTCTTGGACCTCCATTAGTCCTCAGAGCAATTTTGACATTTCCTGTTTTGCTATCTGTGTTCAGATAGAGCTGGGCAGCACAAATGTGAGGGTTGGGTCAACAATATTCGGACCAAGAGAGTATCCAAACCAAAAGCAGAATTGAAGAACTCTGTTTCATGTGTTCCTCAATACAATTCTTATGTACATTGTATGTATGATGGCATGTAAATGGACATGTAAATAACTGATGTTTATAAGTGTATAGTTACACGAAGGACACATATTTGGGGTATACCCTGCTGGTATTGCATTATTAAGAGGCATTTTCTTAAAATATTTTTAGCACTTCCAATGGCATTTTACCTCCTACTCCCTCCGTTCCTAAATATTTGTCTTTCTAGATATTTCAACAAGTGACTACATACGGAGCAAAATAAGTGAATCTACACTCTAGAATATGTCTACATACGGATGTATATGGTAGTCCATTTGAAATGACTAGAAAGACAAATATTTAGGAACGGAGGGAGTATATGCCAGTGCTTTTGAACGGCAGATTTTGGTTTTTGCATTTGTGTGCTTTAGTCACTAATAGACTAATCTACAACCTAAAGCAGCTCAAAGAGCAAAACTTCTTTTCCAGGCAATTACAAGAGCTCATTGCAGTCAACTTCACTTCATAGACACACAGTTGCTCGTTTACGCAAAAACGTGTGCAGCAAAGCGAGAGAAACTAGTACCAGCCCAACAGCTGAATGAAGCACTACTACTAACCAGCCAAACCAAAATACCACAATTCTCTTCACCATCATGTTACATACAGACCACAGGCACAAAGCATCTAGAGCCCAAGCATACTGTTATAGACACATCATAATGGTACTCCAAACATACTGTTATAGACCCCAGTTGGCATGAGCAGTTCGCTATCTCGAAAAATAAAAATACGGTTATACTAGAACGGCCCCTTGTCCAAGATTTCTGGTGCCACCACAATAATGTTGCATCCAATAGCCAACTTTGATCAACCCGAAGCGCAGTTTGCTTCGCAGGTTAATTTCTCTCCTGCAATGCAGACAAAGAAGACAGCACATATGAGCACCGTGGAAATAGCAGCATTAGGTTCTGCAGGATACATACTACTGAAGCAAGCATTATTCCTGACTTCACAACGAGTCCCAAAGCGATGCTACAACTATAGCAGAAACTAAACATCTCCCCTGCCCACTTAAAACTCAACACCCACGCACATACATCCTCATCTTAACAGGACACGGTAATCCATGCACATGCACAGCAACAACAACGGTACTCCAAACATACTGTTATAGACACCACTTGGCATGAGCGCTCCACTATCTCAAAAAATGGGGGGTGGAATCTTTGCAGCAGCAAAAATTACACTTGTCAACCTTTCAAAGTCACTTATCAGGCAAAGTTCCAAGACAGCGACGACTTAGCTAAACAATAGCGTCGACATTGGACTCACGACCTTGACGAATAAAAGCCATCTCTAGAAATCATTTGTACCATCACCCACTTATGTTATAATCTTAATTTAAACTCATCCTTCTGGATTTGCTGCTAAATAGTCATTTGAATATTTTGATTAACAAACAGAAAATATCAAACTAAATGACTGTAACTAGTCACTAGTAGGGAGCAAATGTACCTTGAGAGCTTCTGGACAGTTATGATACCCCATTGTACTGCATCAGGAAATGCTTGGAAGGACCCAAACCGGAGACCCATAATCCTCAGTTCGCCCTGGGTGGTCTATAACGAATTCATGATAAGACCCATCAACCAAAGAATACTCGCTCCACTTCCCAGAGTACCCAGTGAAGTACAAGCAGTCCCCTCGAACTGCCGGATGGTCTGGACCAAGGCAACCGGCAAACTCATGCCAATTAAAGAACAAGCTGCAACCACCAAGGCTAGTAGTCCTCACCCACTTCCCCTCCCCGGATTGCAGACAGAAAACATGGTACACCCATGGATTGTACTCCACCCTTACAATGAGCAATAACTCACCACACCGCTCCGCTAGCCAGAACCTTGGACAATTATCGTCCGGCACACTCAATTTATCTCCAAGAAACGACAATACCGCAGAGTTCTTGTCAAGCTCGACGACAGCGAGGCGGTAATGTGGGTGATTGTAAATCAGCGCATAGAGGGTGCCTTTCACGAACATCAGATCGTAAACCAGGTGGCCTACATCGCAGCGCGCTGCCTGCCAGTGATCATCCTCAATGTGGCAGTAGTAGAGGACGCGGCAGAGCTTCCTGAAGGTGACAACGAGGTCGCCAGAAAAGACGACTTCTTCAGAGTAGCACGGTTCCGGGGAATCGGGCAGGCGGGCTCGCTCGCCTGTGAGGAGGTGGCGGATGCGGAGCTCGCGGTGGGTGTCATAGCGGTCGCGGTCCTGGATGGCGACGCGGTAGCCGGAGGAGTAGAACTCGGTGAGGCTGTGGTCGGTGCAGGGGAGGCGGAAGCGGAGGATGCGGCGGAGGGGGACGTGAAAGAGGGCCCCCGAGGCAGAGGCCATGCGGGGGAAGAGGAGGAGCGGAGCCTGGGAGGCGAGGTTGGCCGGCGACGGCCGAAGGAGATCCCGGTAGGCGCGGCAGGCGGCGCGGAGGGCGAAGAAGTCCTGGAGGGTCGTCAGGCGGCTCGCGACCGACGGGATCAGCTCCGGCAGGAAGTACGGCGACGCCGAGGCGGTGTTTGTGGAGGAGGTCGTGGTGGTGGTGGTGGCGGTGGCCGACGGCGAGGTGCTCGTCCGGCGCCTCTTTGAGGAAGCCATTCCTCGCCGCCGCTTCGGCAGCGGAGTGGGTGAATGCTGGGTAGGGTTAGAGGCTTAGGAGGCCTGTTGATGGGCCAGGCCGGGCTGGGCCTATCATGTCTTGGGCTTGGGTCGTCTACTTTTAAAATTTGACGCGGTAAAAATCTCAAAAAAAAAAACTTCCGCGCAAAAAAAGAGAAAAACTTCATGTGACATCGGGGTTTACAACTTTAGTGGTAGTTCTGGTTTTCACCTTGACGCATAGTCCCTGTAGATTTAATTTACTTTTACATATAACCTTTTATGGCAAACCCATCTCTTGGTTCAGAAAAGTCCATATAAACTTGTGACTTCGTCACACATGCTTTAGTTTTCCATATTTACTCTTCTCACTCGATATGGATGATGGAGAGAAATGTATGCGTTGAGGTAAGATGACATAGAGCCTATAAATTGTAATGCAAAATTATGAGGTTCATCCTCTCCTGATTTTCCTCCTCTACTCCTCGTCTCACATCTTTAGTGGTATTTCTATATTGTTTTGTGAAACTATGACCAGAGGTGAAATATATAATCTTCTCTTCCTTTGATCAACCATATTATAGTTGCTTTTTTCTCTATTATTGCAATATCGATGTCATACATGTTGATCTTTGTGTTATTAGTTTCTTGTGCCACTTGCTCATCTAAGGCAGCATAAAAGAATGTTAAAACATCTTCTCTCACTCACTCTTGTCACAGTGTTGATCTTTTCAATGATTTTCCCATTTCTCGTAAATGAACTTAAATTGCTAATTTATTCTAAATTTTATGTCACTTTTTCAGTTCATCCAAAACTTAGTTATTTATTGACTTCATATTGAATGTCTATGATTTTTTTCTAAATTTGAGAATAAATTTATATTGTATTTCATTCACCTAGTAGGATGCTTTCTTAACTCACCTAATACACGTGTCAACTCGCCAATGCATTGTGTCGAACATTACTATGGTGTAGGTACACCTGGCCATGGGCAACCCGGCCCGAAAAAGCCTGGCCCGACGTTGCTCACAGGCCGGGCCCGCCATATTTGCGATTTAACAAAGAGGCCTGGCCTGAGGCCCAGCGAGCTTTTACACTGACGAGTCGGGCTTGGGCCTGATTTCTAGGCCCGACGCCCGGGCCTGGGTTTTCTGCGTCGGGCTTGGTTAGGCCCAGCCCGAGGGATGGCCAGGTATAGGTGTAGGGATATTTTGATGCGTTATATTCCCTCTAATCCAAAATATGTGTCTTGGTTAACCACGACACTTTATTTTGGATCGGATTGAGCAACATTTTTCTTAGCCGGGTGTTTGTCTTTTTATTGGTTGGCCTTTGCCAAAAAAAACATCTTAACACCTTTAGTGTTTGCTTGCATACATGTATGGGGTAAGCGTGCACTTTGCCTCGTTGTCCTTCAATCATGAGTTAGACCGATCTTTTTTAGGAGGGATGTTATGACTGATTACTTCGTTGCGTGTTTCATCAAAGTTGAAACTATTATGTGTGGTTGTGTTGTTCTTGCATGTAACACAAAAATCAGCATATTGGCACCACGTTCACCTAAAAGTACACCTCAAAGAATCACCCATCAATTCACTCCCTTACAAGTGGGCCCATCAACGACCCCCAAACCTGACATACTAAGGGTGTGTTCGGTTCGTGGAATCAAGTAGAACGTCACGGGTCGGTCCCGTACCTGGCAGCGATTCCAGCGTTTGGTTTGCGAAAGAGAGGGAACAGAATGGTTCCTCGCGAGGGAATATACCCCTGATATGCGGAAC